CCGAGTGAAAAGATACAAGGGGCTACTTTCTCTTTGCAATCATTCCAATGCGAAAGGAAAAAAAAGGCACCTGGTACAACAAACCTACACGAAATAAAACTCATTTTTTTCACAAACTCCATCAACACACATCCTGACTGCAGCAATAGCCATAGTTACTAAAAAATAAAGTTATCACTATTTGCCACAAAATACACTGCAGTAAACCTAGAAACAAAATTTTGTCCAACCTACAAACCTTAACCTACAGCAATGTTAAAACCATTTTGTTTTCCCTAAACAAACACGGATCAGTACTATCTGTCACAGTCATAGTGACGAAGCGAGGACCCGAACCCTGAGAAACTCGCCTCATATAATCAGTAAAAAAAAAATTTCATACCCGAAGAAACACTGCCTAAAACATAGGCAAGACAAGAAGTTTTCTGCCGAGTAATGGATGGCAAACTTCGAAAGGCAAAAAAAGCAGATTTCCTCTCCTTTTAAATACTGGAAAAGCCACTACTACTACAAAGTAAGGAAAGATAAAGAAAAATCGCACCAGGATCTGGGAAAAAAAAAAAGAAGCAATTAAAGTAAATAAATAAATAAACAAAAACAATTGAATGAATACAAGAACGAAAAGTCAAGTTTTAAACCGTTAAAACACGATCAAGAATCGAAAGGGAAAATTAAGTGTCAAATGGCAAACAGAAAAAACCTCTAAACCTCCCAATTACTAAGTTCAAAATATCCAGGAAGAAAAAATCCTAAAAACATTAGTCTCAGTTCGATAAAACTAAAAAAAAAAAGAAAAAAGAAACACCCACCCATTTTGCACAACTAATTCGTCTTCTAAAAAACTCAATGATTAACATATTGTCAAATTTGATTGGACATTTTTAAACGCAGTTAAATCATATTCTCATGTAAAAGTTACAGCAGCAATTGCACACACGTCACACGCGCATAACCAACCAAACCAAAGACAAAAGTTTGACAAAAAAAATTGTGAGTGATGGAAAGAGAAAAAAAAATTTAAAAGCTTCCAGAAATTCGCTCTGGGTTTGATTTTTGGTGGCAAACAACACTCTTTCGTACTTCCATAATCGAAAACCACAGAGATAACAACTTTGTAGAAAACAAATTAGGGAAGGTCCAAAAAAATACATCGGGAGGTCAAAATTAGAATAAGAGATTGAGTAAGAAAAATCATTATTCCTTCTTGTTCTCTTTTTTTTCATTTTCCACACAATAACGTTGAGGAAAAAAATATTTGTTCTTGAACTGATAATAATACCTGCTCGGCAAGTTTTGCGCGCTGTACAAGTTCATCCTTGTTGTCAGACGACATTGTTTCGGGTAGTGATGAGCCGCAACTAACACTGAGCAACACAGTCGAAGAGCGTAGAACCTTTCCACTGACTGCAATGCGTCCAGTAAACCGAACAGCACTCGTAAAACGTCACTGAAAACTCTCAGTGTTTTGAGGGAACATATAGCTAAACGCACAAGAAATATTGCCATGATTTTGGCGAAAAATGTGCTAAAATTTTTGAAGAAATTCAAATTTTATTCTTGCATTTACATCAAACCGTACAAGCGGATGTTAAACACATAAATTTCCATAATAACATTAACAATTACTTTACAGTTTAAATAATAAAGTAATTAGGCGGGCATAACGCGGAGGAATAACGGGGACCGTTTCAAACAATTGCTCCGCCTTTTTTCAATTTCAAAAATAAGGGACCAACCGATAAAAAAGCGCACGAAATAGCACCACTAAATCTTTATTGTATTTTCCAGAAATTCTTACGGAATTAAGCAAATTTTTTTTAGTGTTCTGACTGTAATGTTTACGTGGATCGGAAAAAAATCAAAAATTAAAAAAAAATTCGCAACTTCAATATGTTATTTTTTTTTGTGAAGGATTGCGGATGAATAACGGGGACCGTCTTCAAATGGCGGCTGTTTTGCTAGCAGAAAAAAAAAAAGATCGATTGAAAAATTTGTTTTTGCATGCAGGGAAAGTTATGCGTGTTTGGGTCTGTGAGTGTCTGTGTGTTTGTGAGTTACTGAATGAGTGTCTTGAGTCCGTCTGTCTGTGTCCGGTATGTCCGTGTGTGTGCGTGTGTGCGTGCGTAACGTGCGGTGGATACGTTGCGTGCGGGAACAATACAATTAAAAAGCTGTTTATGTTAGGATTGAAAAAACCGTAATACAAACATAGTGCACGTAATATCAGACGCAAAAAAAAAAAAAGACTCATACTCGTTGTTGTCGGTATATGTTGGTGTTTAAATTGATCAAGTCTCTGCACACTAAGTAATCTAAGAGTTGTTTGAACTCAAGAAGAAGTATGAATTCGTTGACAAAATTGTTAAGACCATTTATTAATGCAAAAGTGAAGGAAAGGGTAAAGGATGAAAGGCAGTGAGAAAAAGGAGGAAAATCTGAGGGCGAAGGAACAACGCTTAGGAATCGTTCCTCTTTTTTTTTTTTTTTTTTTTTTTTTT